AGGCTTTTACAGATTCATTTGTCATGGCAAAGATCCAAGAGCAAGCACCGTATTATCAAACCCAATTTTAATATATTAGTTAGCTTATAAAAACATTATTTAAATCACTAGAGTGCATCTACTTTTAGAGAATTATTACATTTAAAAAATGCATTAAGGTTGCACTGAGAGAAAATACAAAAGTTAAGCTTTCATCTTACTTATGGAGTTGCTGTCACAGATTCATACAAATTCATTCATCTTTTTCATGTGAGTTATGGGTCTCAGTCCATCCCTTGGGTCAAACTACACAACTGAAAAACTTGCTTAATAAGCTCAACACATACACATCCAATTTTATATCATAATTTTGACAGCCTATGTACCTTAGCAACTGGAGATTGACCGATCTTCCAAATAATCAGCCTCTCTCTGTAGACAAGCCAGGCCCATCCACTTTCATCCACCTGCACACTTAACTGGTCATCCGCTATATCCAAAAAGACCACATAAAATTTCAAGAAGTAATAAGATTAGTAAAACTGCAGAATAATCTCTAAACTATCTAATCTTCATTTTGGTAGAAAAAGAGGATTTTTTTTCCTAATAGATCCAATGCCACATGAAAAATCCTATGTCCTTTAGTTAATTAAATTCAAGACACTCATTTACCAAATATTGTTTAAAATACATTTCAATGTAATATGCTCTCAACTTTTGTGAAAAATGTAATTCACTCCAAGAAAATGACCCATATAACCATTACATAGAATTGAAAGCAGCACAATCACTAAGGATATGAATTCAAGTTATTGTAGACAAAGTAAACCTAAGTCAGTGAACCCTTATAAAAATGAAACAAATGTTGAGAAATCTCTGAATAGAGTCTTAGTTTCAAGGCAAGGCCCATTTTCCTGGGTTTTTGAGAATGATCTGAAAATAATGAGTACCTTTTTCTATTTATCTGCTGGTTTTATACCATTATGTGGAACTGGGTCATATCATAGAATCATAGAATACTAGGACTGGAAGGGACCTCGAGAAGTCTTCAATGTATTTATGTTTTAACAGTTTGGATTATGTGTTCCTAAAGAACTATTAAAGCACCTAAAGTTTGAGATATTTACAAAATAAATGAAAGATAAAAAAGCTAGGCAAACCTATATACAACTTAATTTCTTTACTCAGTCCTTTGAATTTGACACACACAATTCTCTTTTAGACACCATATTAGGCATTTTTAATATTCTTCTAACCATCTAACCTGTAGGTGTCAATTTCAAAAATAAGACTCTCATTAACTTTGTCCATAAAGGATCCAGCTCCTTCATCTTTCCTAGATTCAGCTATTTATAATTGAAAAGTATTTTTTTAATGTTAGTTCAGTTTTGTTTCTGAAGGAAGACTTTTTCATAAAGTTGTGCATTACACTCTTGAAACAGACCCATTTTATCTCATTCTAATAATTTTCATTAGCATAATTCGCAAGTCTTGAATTTTACAAGCCACTTGTATTTGTTACTAGAAGATTTACCTGGCACTGCTCAGGTCCTTAACACACGTAATTTTTGTTTTTCCCTCACTTGAATCATTGCTCTGAGGTAGGGCTGGGAATGAAGGGTTCAGTGTGCAGGCTACCTCGGGGAGAGAGGACTAGCCCAAAGCCGCCTCTCACTGCAGCAGACTGGGGCCAGGTGAGAAGTGCCTCCCCATGGATGCTGCAGCTCCAGCGGGCATAGCAGAGGGAGAGATGCATGTCCCCCCCACCCCTGCTATGGCAGGTACGGGTTCATCTGCCCCATGCTACCAACCAGAGTGCAGAATGCAACAAACTGCGCATTTTCCTCTCTTGACAAAAGGGAACAGCCAGCAATGTTCCCATACGAAAAGGAGGGTGGGAGCTTCAACCCCCTCCCCAGTCCTGCCTAAAGGGCGTCTGGGGGTGAGGGGAAAGGCACACAACTGGGGCAGTCTTGGATGAGGTAACATATCCCTAGCTGGCCCCTTTCACCTGCCTTGTGATTCTCTCTTGTCTATATGGTTTTATGAGAAGCAATCCCATTCTGGGTACAGCCCGTGTCCCTGGAACAACCAAACCCTTACCTTGGTTTAAGATATGATAAGTGGAAGCTGCATACAAATTTGGACTAGTTCTTACCGTTTAGGAAGAATTCTTAAATAGAGAGACAGACTCATGCACAAACGCTCTCAAATATATCGTAGATTGTTTTGAAATTAAAGAATCTGGATCAATGGATACATTCCTATTACATATAAAAATACAGACCTGTGCAATGCACCTTTTCAGCACAATTGATATCAAACATGAAGTGCAAAACAAGGAAAAAGTAAGGATGGTTGTTCTTTTTTAACTTAAGACTTTGTAAATGACTGTTACCAGTGGCCTAAACATTTCTTTCTTAAGCTTACCTAAAACTGTGAGTGGCAATATTTAAACAACTGAATATATGGATCAGCAACCTTAATTTTGACTGTTTTTGTTGTGCTTGGTCTGTACAGTACTCTCCAAATATAATTAAATAGTTTTGCTTTTCACAAAAAGTCCAAGTACTGAATTGATATCCAGATGACTGACATTTGAAAGAAAATAACTGAATTGTTCTGATCATGAACAATTACAGTCTTACGTGTTTTGAAGCTTATAAATGCTCTAGCAAGAGACTTCTTATATACAATTAAAAAGGTGTTCTCTTCTCCTCCTCCTTGCTCAAAAATATCTATTTAAAAGTATAAAGAGATTACTGTATTTCCTTTATCTGATCTAATTCCCATGTAATCATTCCTTACCTTCAGCCATTCTTAGGGCCTCCATAACCTTAACAGGGAGAGAGGATCCAAAAGTCTTAACGTCATAGTTGATAGTTTCACTGGCTGAAGGATGTTGTAATACTCTTGTGGGTGTTGCTCTAAAAAAAATATACACAAACTGTGATTGATTTGTTTCCATTATGTCTCCTGCAATTTTAAGATATGCTTATTTCATTTTCAATTATTTAAAAGATACTTGATTGAATGGCCAAGTCTGTGAAAAACAGGCACAAGTGCATATCTTTAGGAGCTAACATTCAAGTCACTAAAGGAGGTTTCCCTTCTTATATTAATTTGAATGGAATAATGGGCCAAAGGTGTTAACATAAACCAGTGACAATCCAACAATAAAATATTAAAAACAAAGTTTCGGGTTTGGCATACAGTGACTTCAGCCTGTTTAGTACCACAATATGCATCACAAAGTCTTTTCAACTTTTTATTAAAGACATAGAAAAGAAAGAAAAGAGTTAAAACATTTGAAATGTACAGGCAGTCCCCGGGTTACGTACAAGATAGGGACAGTCCCTGGGTTATGTACAAGATAGGGACTGTAGGTTTGTTCTTAAGTTGAATTTGTATGTAAGTCGGAACTGGTACATATTGTAGGGGAAACTCTAGCCAACCATTTCTCCAGAGCTCAGTTTTATTCTCCCACACCTCACTTCCCTCAGTCCTTTATTCTCAAGCTGAGGTGTCTGCTGAGAAAAGCCGCTCCGCGTCTCCCTGGTCTGCTGGGGGGGGCGCTAGCTTCACGTCTCCCTGGTCTGCTGGGGGGAAGCAGCTAGTGTGGGGTTGCCTCACCCCTTCTGTAAGTAGGGATCCGATGTAAGTCGGATCCATGTAACCCGGGGACTGCCTGTAATGCATTCAACAAGATTTTCATTTCAACATTATTTGTTCCCTTTCTCTTTAGCTGGAAAAAGTTTTAGAAGACAAAAATCCTTTGTTTGTGAGCCTTTTAGATAATAATATAGTATTATCTGTCCTGTTGGGTAAGAGAGCAGTTGACCAATGCCAGGTGCAGCTATTACTGCTATTAGAAGTTTAAAACTAATTTTGGGAAAAAGAAAAGAAGTTTGTTGATATGGGCTGGAACTAGGGATGTGAATGGTTAACCCCGACACCCTGTATTGCTGCTGCCTCTGTATCAGAGACAGGGATGTGAGGTGGCAGGCAGAGTTGGTCTAAAAATTGGCTCCCCACGCAGACCAGTTCCCACCTGCAGCCTGCTGACTCAGATACAGAGTAAAGATGTTAAATATCAGTTAACTGAATAGCCAATTAACCGAATGAATTCTTATTGATTACTTGACTATTCTATAGCTCCCGGGGGTAAGGCCAACAGCCAGAGTGCTCCAGCCCCTCTCCCAGGGAGCCGCCCGCCACTCTGTGCTGCTGCCTCTGTAGCATAGGCAGCAGTGCTGGGGGCCAGGCGGGAGCTAGTCCACAAGGGAAGCCAGTTTAATAAACAGCTCCCCTCATGGACCAGATGCCTGTTGCCCCATGCTGCTGTCTCTGATACAGAGGCAGCAGCACAGCGTGGCAGCAGCCCGTCGGGAACAGGGGGGTCTGAGCTCACAGATGCGGCACAAGACAGAACTGAGCCAGGCTGCCCGCCTGGCTCCTAATGCACTTTAAAGGCAGAGCCGCAGCAGGGGAGGGGGGGGTCTGTAGCACTAACCTGAAAGCTTTTGCTTACGGGTTAATCGATAACACTGATCCATCCCCAACAGCCGGGGGAGGGGTGACTCCGCGGAGCCGGGGGGGGGGCGGTTTTTAAGTG